GAAGCATGTAGAACTCCAAATAACATCAATTAAAACCACACCCAGACATATAATAATCAAGATCCCAGAAATTCAGCACAGGAACAGTATACTAAAAGCTGCTAAAGAAAAGAAACAGATCACATTTAAAGGAAAACCCATCAGAATACCAGCAGATTTTTCTTCACAAACCATCAAGTCAAGAATAGCATGGAGGGCTGGGGAGATAGCTCAGTAGAATAACCACAGGTTCCTGAGTTCAATCCCTAGTACCTCAAAAAATAAATAAATAAAATGTATGGAGCGAAGTACTGCAAGTCTTATAAGAAAACAAACTCCAAGTCAGACTGATATACCCTGTAAGACTCGAAATCTTTCAAGTATAAAAGAGAAGTGAAATACTTCCATGACAAAGCACAACTAAAGAATTTCATGAAGACAAAGCCAAGTATATTCTAGAGAGGGACCAAAATGACCACAACTCCATGAATGAGAATGAAAAGAATCCACCAAATAGGGCAAACAGTTAAACACAGGAAAATAAGAGGTATACAGTAGTAGTCTTTCAGTTATTCTTTTGTATATAGCAGCAAAATATTTCTATCAGCGTACTCTACAAATGGATTTGTCCTGTACCCTATGGGGCATGATTCTGTCCAGGTCTACAGGGTAGATATCAAGGAAATAGCGTTAGCTCAGTCCCACAAGTGACACCTGGCCACCAATAAGTGTCATGGACACTGTCCAGGTCCACAACATACTAGAACTTTGAGCAATATCCTATCCCCAGACTGTTAGAAGTGCTGATCATATATTTGCCATTCCAGTATTTACCTTATGTTTTATTTTTAGTAATTTACTATCATGTAAACTTTTTCTTAGCTCAGTTGTTTTGAAATATTTAATTTTTAATCAATATTTAATTTTCTCAATATTGTTTAATCTTAATTTTTGTTTTAAGATTTATACTGTATCTTTGACTTACAGTCTACTTATAAAACATGGTATGATGTTCTCTTCTAGTATTAGATACTTTAAAAAGTATATTTCCATTTTCAGTTGACTTTATATTACTTCTTCCTTGTCCTTTACACATGCAGACACACACACACACACACACACACACACACACACACACACAAATAACCTGACATAAGATTGATACTGTTTTGTAGAAATCTTCAATGACCTTTTAAATGGGTTCATCTAATATATTTTACATAGTCCTGCATAACCATCATTTTGAGAGCTCTTTATTCTTTATCCAGGACCATACAGCACCTTCTCTTGGCTTCTGGATTATGCTCTTTGTTATTTTCTATATGCTACAACTGGAGGTATTGAAATATTTTGAGTTTGTATAACTAGAAAATATTTTACTTTTAGTTTTCAAAGCTGTGCTTGCTAACTATAAAATTCAATGAGGACAGATTTTTTTTTTCTTTCAGTCCTTTGAATTAATTAGTCTAGTTTCTTACACACTGGGTCTTTGCTTTTGTTTCTAATGCAAAATAAGATGCTATTTAATTTTGTTCTTCCAGAGCTAATTTTTTATGTGTATGCTTTAATGATTTTTTTCTTTACAATAAGTTTTGGATAATTTCATTTTTGTGTATCTTGTTATGATTTTATTCCAGTTGCTTGTGCAAAAGGTTAATTTTTCTTGGAAATGTGCTATAATTTCAACAAATTCAGAAATTTTAAATCTTTAAATATTTATTGCCTACCCCATCTACTTTGATAATTCTAATTATATGAATATAAGTTTCTTGATTTTGGCACAGGTGAACTATTATATGACTGATCTGTAAATTCTTCATTTTTATTTCAGACTATTTTTACTGTTATATTCATTTAAGTTTGTAAATAATTTATGTACAATGTGCAATTTATTACTAATCTCATGCTATATACTCATCTCTGAAATATTTCTCTAAAATTCAAAAAAATACTGAACAAATATATTGAATAAAAAAAAAAAAAAGATTCCTAGCACAAAAACTACAGTTCTTACTGAGCAGAAATACACTTTTTATCACCGCAGAGTACCATGATATGAATTTATCACCAGAATAACAAAGTTTTTGAAGTATGCTCCTCAGAAACCTTCCTGGCTTCCCTAGCAAAGGATGCTTTGTACCACTACTAATCGGAAAGTTGTGTGTTAGTATACATATGTGTGTCTGTTTGCAACTTCGTGTTTGTTAATCCCTGAATGAACGTTAAGGGCTTTTGCGTGTTGGCTATTGGGAATCCACTGTAGTACAGGGGGTGCATATTTACTCTGTCCCTGCTCTCTCAGTCCTTTGGGGTATGTAAGAAAGAACATACTATAATTTTACTTCTGATTCTCAGTGGAACCTTCATACTATTCTTCCTAGCAGTTGCACTGCTTTACATTTGTACTAGCAATATACAGAGGCTCAGAGTTCTCCAGATTCCTATTTTCTGTTGTTTACTTGTTTTGGGTTTTAGGTTTTTTCTTCTTACTAACAGCCATCTTGAAGGCATGAAGTGTGTCTTGTTTTGTTTTGTCTTGTTTTTGTATTTTAGGGAAGGGTCTTTAGAGTTTTCAGAGTCTCACTACTAGATAGGACTCATAGTGAGCCTCCTGTTTACAGCCTCCCAAGAGCTGGGATTACAGGCGCGCACCACCACGCCTGGTCTCAGTTTCTGTCTCAGCAGGCCCCAGGGATGGGGCCAGCACTGCCCGCCCGGGATTGAATCCCAGGCCCCTGCGCCTGCTTGCAGGTGCTTAATTCGCTGAGCTATTTGGCTGGCCTTGAAGTGTGTCTTATTGTGCTTTGATTTGTATTTCAAATGACTAGTGATGTTGAGCATGTTTTTATTGGCCTTTTACATATTTTCGGAGAAATGTCTGTTTAAGTCTTCTGTCTATTTTTCAACCAGGTTGTTTATTTTGTTGATGAACATCTAAATATTTCGTGTAATAAAAAACATACAAAAATACTTAACACATGTCTTCTTTCTCACTGTTAGTGGTGTAAAGTATCATTTGCTGGCTTATACTACCCTAACCTTGGAAAATGCTGAGGATAGCTTCAAGACTCATAATCTGCTTATTAATGGAAATGGTAAGTATCTTGTTATTTCTTTCTTATTGCACACCTTATATCACTATATATGTGGTCCTAACAGTGACTTTCTGATTTTAATATGTTCCCTTGAAGTAGATACTGGCATAGGTGACGGAGACACAAGTGATTCTCTGAGTTCTTTCAAATGCATTTATCTTTCATCCTCAAGAAAGGAACATCTTTTCTCTTCTCTGTATGGAGATTTGTTTGTAAAGCTAACTTGCTGACATAGAAAGGTTTTGGGTTTTTGAGTCTTTATCCTTAACTTGAAATTGATTTCATTACTCCTAACTGGAAACCGAGGAACTACTTTTAAATGTGAAATCAAGAAAGCCAATCCTTTTGTTAGCAGGAGGTAGATGATATATGAGAAGGTAAGACTAAATTTATTTTAACTCTTTTCTTTCTGAATAATTGTAATTGCAGTCTTTCCAAAAGAATGTAGAACAGTGGAAAGGGAGATTGAGCAATTGAGATTTGTGAAATTTGCTTTAAAGAGTTTGCCAGATTAGTTTTTCTGTGATAAAAAATATAAAATAATTTTAAGTATTTTAGAAATATGATTTAAATTATACTTTCTTGTTCATTTTCTAAAGAGAAATACATAAAATATGTAATAAGTGTATTATTTCACACTGTTGTGAAGATTGGTAACTGCTAGTGGGATTACTGATTTTACAACAATATTTTTCAAGTTCATAATAAATGCTCACTTAAGATAGAGAATAAGTATGAAATGTGAATATATAGCTTAACAAATCATTTTGAGATGCAGGTCTACCTAACAACCTCCCCGCTGAGACATGGAACATTGCCAGCGCCACTTTCCTCTCAGTGTCTGCCAGCTTTTATATATGTGCTTTTCTCTATGGTTTTGCCATCTGTGTGTCCTTCTCTAAATAATGCAGTTTTTTAATTTATGTATTTACAAGGTCTCACTATGTAGTTCAGACTTGTACTGATCCTCCTGTCTCAGCCTTGCCAGCGCTGGGATTACATGTGTGTGCCACCACACCTGATTTCAGTGGCCAGCACGGTGCAGGACTGGCACAGCATATGGTACTGGGGTTCAAACCTAGGTCCTTGTGCTTACCAGGCAAGTGCTTAGATCACTGAGCTATCTCCCCAGTTTAGCTTGATTTGAAGTTTATATGGAATCATATTATACCTTCCTGGTAGTTTGATTTTTGTTCATCATTCACTTTGTATTTATAGTAGTTCATTATATGATTATATCACTGTTTCCTCTTGTACTGATTCAGTTATTTTCATAGTTGTAGGGTTTTTCAGTTTTCCTATTTCTTGGGTCAGTTTCAGTATGTTACATTGTCACAGATTTTTGATACAACTTTGAAGTCTATAAGCCTTAATTTGAAGGATTATAAAGTGCATTATGTGTTAGTATCTATTTAATTTCTGCAGTGTCTTGTAGCAGTGTCTCTCTTTTCTGATACCTCTTTCTCTCCTTCTGACAATATCAAGTTTATTATTTGCTAGTGTGGTCTGTGGATGCTGAGTATTTGTTAGGTATAAGCATAGTTTCCATATTCTGCATTACTGTAAGAGGGATGGAAAGATCTCTTACAGTTGTGAACTTTTCTGTTCTTGTTACATCTGTTTTCATTTTATATAATTTGAGCCTTTGTTATTTGATGCACAATTAAAAAAAAAAAAAAAAAAAACCAACAGTATTTTCCTAGTAGTCCAACCTGGCCTTGGATTCACTTTGTGGCCCAGGTGGGCCTCAGGCTGCCTCGCCTACCAAGTGCTAAGGTTCCAGCATGCGTCACCATACCCTGCGGATGTGCACAGCTTTTAAGTTGTATGTTATTGTCAGTTCTCTAACCCAAACCATCTTCTTTTGCATTATTGACATGCCTCTTCAAATAGCATTAAACTTACTTTTAATGTTCAGAGAATTTAAAAATTATTACATTTTCACAGGAGCTATTTTGAAACTTTCTTTGTACAATCCTGTATATCTATATGGTTGGGTTCTTATTTGCCATGGTCACCTGAGTTATATCTGCCATGCTTACCTGTACTCTAGTTGTCTTTTTTGGTAGAATCTTTGCTTTCCTTATAAGAATTCATTAGTTTTTGTCAATTCAGTTCTTCCCTGTCCTAATTAAAGCTATCCATTCTTTTTATCATCTTTTAGAAATTGTCTCTAATAATTTATTTGATTCATCATATTAAACTCTAAAATTCCTCTTTATGCTAATTTTCCCCTTTGTTCAGACAGTGGAAGGACTTTAGAACTGTTAAATTTTACTTCTCTAGTTTATAGGTTTTTATTGTATACTAATATTTATTTCTACATAGTAGCTTACACATTTAATATTTGTTTAGGGCCAGGGAGATGGCTCAGTGGAATAAGCACTTCCCTGGTAAGTTCAAGGGCCTGAGATCAATCCCTGGTTCCACAAAAAAAAATTCGATAATAAGATAATTTATACACATAGTATTTAGGTTTACCTTCAAGTTTCCTTATATCACTTTATCTCCTACCGTGTATTTGGGATCATTTTTCTTCTTAAGGTATGATCATTAAATTATACTTTTGATAAGATTATTTAATACCAAACATGTTTGATGTTTTAGTATCAAACATTCCTTATCTGAAAATGGTTTTATTTTGTTTTTTTTTTTTATGCCTTAGAGATGTTTTACTTTTGAGTATTGACTTACTTTACTCATTGCTCAGACAAAATTCTTAATAACCAAAGTTAAAGGAGGAAAGCTTTATTTCGCTCACAGTTTGCAGAGGCTTCAGCGCCTAGTCAGCTGGCTGTGAGGCAGGGTGGCCCATGAGAGAGGGCAGCTATTCGTGGTGGTAGAAAAGAGCAAGAGCAACAAGGGAGGGCGAGAGAAGCCTCTTTCTGTCACAGTATATGTGGGCCACCTGCCCTAGGGTGTGTCGCGCTCACACCCTCAGTCCCAGCACTGGACCACAAATCAGCACAAGCTCTAAATTCAGCTGCCTCTGAAAAAGCATGGGCCTCGTGCTCACATGAGGCTTTGGGAGACACCTGGACGCAGACCAGAACAAGTGTGGAAGGGGTAGTTCCAGCATTTTCTTAGCAGTTGTTGAAAATCATTTGTCAGTGTGTCATCTCTGTGAAAGTAAGTAGTCTTTTATTTTCCTTTGGTTTTCTGAAGTTTCTTTGTGATAGAATGAAGTGTAAAATTTACTTATTTATGTGCCTGAGACTCCTTGAGCTTGTTTAAGTTGGTAATTGATGTTTCATCAGTTAGACAAAATGTCACGCATCTATTCGGAGAGCCCTTGCTCCAGACTCTTTCCTCTGACCTGTGTTTGTTTCCTTGCTGTATCCTCCCTGGTTCCAACCCATTGGGGTCTGCTTTCCAATTCTGTCTCTTCAGTGTTTCTCCAGATATTTTCATGACTTGGTTTTTTTCATTTCCTTTACTTTTGTACAGCTTTGTTGGATCTGCCTCTGAATCCACTCACCAGGGTCTTTGTTGCTTTTTTTTTTTTTTTTTGTATTTTAGGGAAGGGTCTACAGGGTATTCAGGGTCAGACTTGTAGTGCTATACCTGTTTACAGCCTCCCAAAAGCTGGGATTACAGGCGTGCGCCACCATGCCCAGTCTCCTTTGCTTCTATTTGACTTCCCACATCTGCTGTGTTTTCTCTATACCCTGTATACATTGTTAATATTTCATATTTTACATAAAGAGTATGCTTATTTTGTTGTCATGTCTAATATTTATACATCTAAAGATTTTTGTGTTTAGCTGGTCTCTCACTCTTGAGGTCTTGATTCCTTCTTACATATCTGCTTCCCTTTGCTGCTTATCAGTATAATTGAAATTTTGCAACTAGAACTAAATGGATGTTTCTGGAGTGCCCCTGGACCTGCTTTATCCAGAGCAACAGCCTAGGTTCCCTGGCAGCTCTGAGCCCTGAGGTGATAGGACACTGAGAGCAGGGTTGGTTTACTTGGAGTTCGCCACCCGCCTGTTGGTTGTTTGGGATAGGAGTTCACTACAAGGAGACTCTCCAGTTGAGCTTCTTGCTGTGCAGGCCCCTGGAATTGGGTTTCTCTTGCACTGCTGATCCTGCAGGAGCATTAAGTCTTAAACTCAGATCTGCTGTGATGGTAAGGATACTCGTTACAAATACAGTCTCTGTGCTCACTTTACTTTCTGGTTTTCTTTTGTCTTCCAGTTTGTCCAGATAACTTCTTGTAGTCTTGTTGCCTCTTCGTTCCTTTTGGAAAAAAATTATAATTTATTTTATTTAGCAGTTTTAGAAATTTTCAGTGGGAAAATTGTTTTGAATAGTCTAATCTGCCCACGTCCAGAATCTGAAGTCTGTAACAATGTTCGGATTATCAGTTATTTTTTTTTTATTTGACACATGTGGATATTTCTCTAGATCTACCATATGCGGTGTGCTTGTACTGTGTCAGAAATTGTTCTGAACACTTACAGAGAATCATCCAGTCCTCTGTTCTGCCTTGAGGAGTGCATGTATAGCAGCTTTAAAAGGAGTGCGAGGGAGGGAGGGTGCTCGGAAGAGACCCCGCTTCAGCCACGTTTTGTAGATGTTACAGTACAGCTCAGAGGCTGGAGGAGCAGCAGGGCACGTACCAGCGGGTGGCTGAGGGCAGCTGCGAACAGTCAGGGACGGCTGTGCTCCCTGGAGGTGCCGTAGCTGTCGTGGCAACCAGAGGAGCAGGCTCTGGGCCGTGGGAGGCCCGGTTCTTTCAAGCAGGTCTGCTGAGAGTGATGGGAAGGCGCAGCACTTGCAGAGGGCGCGCTGGTCTTGGAAGCCGTGACCTCAGGTGTCTGCAGCGGTGTGTGGCTAGGACTGCTAGGCTCTTCACGGAAGCGTTGGCGGCCAGCGGGGCGGGGCAGCCGGGGTGATGTCCACAGAGGTGCAGCGAAGGATTACAGAAACGCCGGAACCCACAACCTGCTGGCTGGAACGTGCCGACTGCACAGAGAAGTGTTAAGACACACCAGATGTGTTAGTATACTAGATTTTCCTAAATAAACTTAATGTTTAAATACTATAAAATGCCAAATATTACAATATTAAGGGGGGGAGATAGGATTTTTAAAAATTATGACTTAATTTTCTTCATCTTGCTGGTTGAAGAACATAGTCCAATTAGTATCTTAAGGCTTGTATTTGTCAAGAAAATTTTATAATCTTTATCAGGTAATGAAACTATATCATGAAGCCTAACATAGATGTAACTGAGATGCCCCTGATTTGTTTCTCTATCCTGTGGTTTTTGTCATCATCTTTTTAAAACTTTTTTTGTTCCCCATGTGAACCAATGAGTGAGATAAATCCTTTAAATACTGAAAAGTCAAACTGCTCTTTTGTTTCTTATTTTGTTGCATCGTGTCTTTTTACCTCCTTCAGTTAGAAAAAGAAATTAAGTATTCCATTACTGTGTTACCCAGAGGTAAGGCTGCCAAACAGAACGGTGTGGCTTGGGAGCAGCCTCTGCCAGGTGAGGCGCATAGTGCCTGTCGTGTGTGCAGTATCCTTTTCGGTCATCGTACTAACCCACCTCATAAGGAAGGGGGTTTTTAATGAAAAATTGATCTTCAGATATGTGATGTGGAGATACTATATTTTTTATTAGAAGTATAGACAGCTATTACTTTATTCCACGGTGGTCCCAAAGCTCAGTGCCGTAAGTGCCTGCCTGGAAAGCACAGAGTCTCAAGTTGGATGATTGATACAAGAAAAGAAAAAGTGACATGGCCCATGAAGACTGCAGGTGAAAGGACTTGTTTTCCTTTCCTTGTCATGATATCTGGACGTAGTTTAGCAGAGAGACACATTGTCACGTGTGGTATTTAGGTTTCAGATAGATTACTGGTTGCACAGATGTCCTGGGCTGTTCTGGGGATCTAAGGGTGTATGAGTTTATTTCTTTAGGAAATGCATTCTAAATTAAAACAGCTAACTTGCAAATGTTACAATGTAAACCATTTATTGAGATTTCTTATATAAATTTCTGATGTGTTACTCAGGTGCATGCCCTCTATAGAAGTTTTATTTCATTTCCTACCTCTTTTGGAAAATTGAGTGTATTTTAGTTTGCATTTCAAGTCTCTGCATGTATGTATGCACTTATTTCTCCCATATCAACCCTTTATTTCTAAAAATAGTTTTAACCACATATTAATAAAGCGTTTGAAAAGTGCTAGAAAATTTGTTATGTACTATTTTATAGTAGAATTTAGCTAAGTTGTTAAAAACTAGAGTTGTTCTACTTTATACTTTTCATTTAAGGTGTTCTTTCACCTTTAACTGATACGTTAAACCTTTGCTGCCTTGTGTTTTGTATAAATGTTTTCATCAAAAAACATGTTTTCCAGGGCCAGGGATATCGCACAGTTGCATAAGCACCTGCCTGGCAAGCGCAAAGTTCAAGTTCTATTCTTGGTAACAAAAACCCAAAACCAAAACCAAAACCCACTTTTTTCAGAGTTACTAAAGCTGTGAAGCAAATAATAATTAGAGCCCATGGCTAGCCATTCTGTGGGTGCTACACTGGAGCATAGTGGAAATTTTAGTCCTTTCTGTATGGACTAATGTGAACTGAAGGCCATGTTTTGGATTATTTGTAATCTGATACACAGAATAAATTATTCAGTACTTTCCATACAGATATGGAGAGTATGAATCCACCTGAATAATAGATTGAGGGAATGTCATATTTTTTTTGAAAGAATGTTTAAAAATTTGTAATTTGAATAACAAGCTCTTTCAACCTCTATGTATTAATGCATATTAACCATTAGCATAGCTAGATCACAACTACTTGAACTCAGGAAGTGTCAGTAGGTTCTTACTGTCTGGTGCTCAGACCTTACTCTGGGGTTGCCCATTTTTCCAGTAATATGTGAAATGATCCCCAGTGCAAAATCATACATTGCATTTATTTTCATACAGTTGTTTCCTTCAGTCAGGACTGTGTGTTAGTCTTTCTCTGAGTTTCATGGTCTTGACATTCTGATGATTAGATAGAGGTTTCATTAAAGGTCTCTCGATTTGGCGTTGTCTCATATTTCTTGGGTTAAGGCGCAGAATATGTATCTCTGACAGTGATGCCATGTTCTCTTTGCATCCAACCAGGTGGCATACATGTAACTCTGACTCATTTCCTCCCATGTCAGTGATGTGTCACTTGGGTTCCCTGGCTAAGGTGACCTCTGCCAAGCTTCTCTTCTGTAAAATCACTCCTTTTGTTTTCCACTTTGTAGTTCACACGTATTTATTGGGGGGAATGGGGTATTTAAAACTGTAAGTAAAAAATTATTATTAGACTTCTAAATTATGCATCGATATTTTTCTATTTTTATTCATTGCATCACCACCTATTAATATTGATTATTTTGTGGTTCAATTGTCCCAAATGTGGCTAGTGGGGACCTGTTCAAGGGTACATATTATTAGTCTTGGAGCACGTTCTTGCTCTCAGCCATAGCAGAGTACCTCAGCTCATCATGTGCTTCCCCACCATCTCGCCAAGGTCCCTGGTTGCCCTTCACACTTGGCATAGGGTGCAGATGCTGCAGTCATGCAGTGTGGGGGGGGTTCCTAACTGCTCTCAGTCCCTGATGCCCCTGGCAGGGTTGGCCAGCACCTGGGCCACTCTCCTGCTTAGGTCTTGGCGCCTCACTTCAAGCAGCGTATGTGGAGGCACGCTGCCCTCTGCTGGGCCCTTTTTCCTGTGGTAAGCCTTCCCCCACCCTAAGGTGCAGCTGCTGCGAGGGACCCACCCCACACACTTGCTCACAGCAGTCCCTCCCTCTGCTTGCGGTCCGTGGGTGCCTCACTCAGAACCCTCTTCCTTACCCTGCGTCACTCAGCACTCATTCCAAGCACGTCATAGCCCAGTCCCAAACCCCTGCATAGAGATCACCCTGTGGGCTGTGCCACTTGGTGTGGGAAGGGGACAGACCAGAAAGGGCTGTTACTTCATCTTGAGTTGCTGGCTGGAATAATTTGCTAATTCTGATAATGAGAATGAAGAGCAAAAAGTAGAATTTAAAAAACATAAATCACTATTAGAATTTTTATATTAAAAGATTACTTATATTCCTTGAGGAACACCAGTGAATAGTTACTTTTAAGATCGAATTAAATGAGCCAGGCATGGTGATACACACCTATAATCCTCACCCCCAGGAGGCTATGGCAGGAGGATTGCCACAGGGTCAAGGCCAGCCTGCAGTATATTGTGAATTCATGTACAGCCTGAACTACATAGTGAGACCCTGTCTCAAAAAGCAAAACATCAAGACTAAAACATCCATGGCTACTTTAGCTAATAAACTTAATGGGTTTAATATGATGTGTAGTCTTCCTCATATTTGACTTTGTCATTAAATATGGTACTGGTATTTGAATACGTAAGCCTTTACATGAAAAAATATCAAAGTATGTCCATGTATAAAAAATTGTAAAAAACAAAATTACAAAATGCATAATGACCTTAAATGAACAAATATTTGTAACTTGATTACTTTTCTTTCTCCTTTGTGTAGAGGAGTCTTCATTTTGGCTTCCCTTGTATGGCAACATGTGCTGCCGGCTAGTTGCCCAGCCTGCTTGCATGGCTGAGGATGCCTTTGCAGGATTTCTTAATCAGCAGGTTAGCAGACTTTAAATGCCCTACAGTTTTAGCTCCAATTGAGACCTTAATGTACAGGCATGTGTTTGACCTTCTAAACTGAGAGGGCTTTTTAAGTGCTATTTTTTTAATGTTATTAGAAGCTGTGGGAATGGCGAGGGGAAGGGTCTGGGGCCGTTTGAAAGCTCATGAGCCAGCTTGGTGCGCCTCGTCCTGCAGTTGCCAGGCAGTTGGCTGAGAGGCCTCCAGTGCAAAGGGACGACAAGGCTGCACCACACCTTGCACAGCTTTGGGCCCGGGTCAGGTTGCTGGGCTTCCAGAGCTGCTTCTGTGCGGCCTACTCCTGATTTATTTATAACCCTAGTTATTTATATTCAGTAAATAATTAATCAAGGGCTTCAGTGAATCAATAGCTTTTTCTAAAAGATTCCATTAAGACAGAGAAAATTTGCATTCTTACCAGGTAGCCAACATTTTCTAATGTTCTGAGAACAGTAAGGGAAAATTGTATTTTCGACATTAGGAGTTATTTTAATAATTTTCCTGAGTCATTTGATGAATTGCTATAGAAGTCTGAACAGTAATTTTTTAATAGGCTAGGTTTTCTAAAAGCTGCATTGATTTATGACTTTGTGCTTAAATTATGTGGTAATCACTAGTTTCATTTCGTTTAATACTTTTTGAGAATCTCTTCAGACTTTTCTCTGATATAAACTTACTCTTAGATTTTAAGCAAATGTGCTGTTTATTCTGTGGCTCATTATTGGGTACTTCTATCACATTTCAAAAAAGTTTTTAAAGTCTAATTTAACTTTGATAGCTTAAGTATTGCATTAAATTTGGAGTTATGATGATAATGATTTAAAGTTGATAGCTTCTTGATTTTTTTCTTTTTTCCAGCAAGTGATAGAAGATCTAAGTGTTTGGAGAAGGCTGTATTGTGTTTTGAGAGGGGGTAAACTATATTGCTTTTATAGTCCAGAAGAGATTGAAGCTAAAGAGGAACCAACCTTGGTAGTGCCCATTCATAAGGTAAATGAAATGCTGTTTTCAGAGTACAGGTAACAATGTTATATATGTTTGTTCTTATCTGTGTACTTTTAAAGGTCTAATTTTGTCCTCTAAAGGAAATACTATAGTTCCCAAGAAGAGCCCACGATACCAGAAAAGGTTCTAAATCAGAGGGTGTGCTTCCATACTTACAATATGTTTACATTTTTCATGAAAATATTTTACTAAGAATGATATGAATATAAATTGTTAACTCATGTCACACTGATGCTTTTCATAGTTAATTGCCAAATGAACCTATGAAGAGACATTCCTGAGTATTCCTTTGGACTTTATAAGCAACTAGTATGTCCAACCTCTGACAGGGCAGGAAAGCCTGAACATTCATTTAGAATAGTTGCATACTTTTACTGTTATAAAAAAATAGTACTTACTGCCTAGACAATCTGTTAGCTGTAGTAATATTTCTCACAAGTTTAATACAAAGGAGGCTCATGAAATTTATCAAATGTTTTCACCCAGAATTCTGTAAGAAGACTTTTAAGATAAGACTGACTTAGTGCGTCTTCCCCAGTGTCTTAAATTTATTTTCATGTATTGCTCCAGGGTAGTGTTTATTAGAAAAGTTTTCTGCCTCCTCCCCCACACTCTATAGTACTCCTAGAAGGTATTTCTGGAGCAAAATACAACATTTCTGCTTCAGACCACACTTTGTTTCTAGTTGTTTTACTTGCATGCCCTTAGAGTGGTTCAGCCGAAGGCAGTGTATGATAAAGTATGACCTATCCCATCTGTTAACTGTTCTACATTGTTTGATACTTTCTTTTACGAGAAAATATTTGAGTCACATTGGAGCTGTGTTCTTGAGAACATGTGGGCGCCAGTCTTCCAGTCAGCATGGACCTAGCTTTAGCTCCATGAGCTCTTCCAGTAATAATGTTTTCATCTGTTCAGTTTACATTGCTTTTTACCTGAAAGAAATCTTTTGCTGAGACCCTTTATTATATTTTCCAACAGATTTACCTGTTTTGCTTATGAAAAGCTTAGTAAGACACTTGAATAGTATGAATAATTAATACCTCAGTGTGATAATTCAGTGAATTTATTTTAGCCTACAAAGTTTTATTAAATGTATAATTTTATTATGAAAAGTCAATATATTTTCATTACTTGCCCACAGTTATTTTGTTTATACATTGTCGTTCATTTTTCTGTATCTTAGTCTTTTGAAAATTTCAAATATATAAAAAAGTTGGAAAAGAATAATAAACATCTGTATACCATTTACCTAGATTTTCAGCTATTAACATTTTCTCACGTGTTTTCTCTCTGGCTTTATATTTTTGCAGAATTATTTGAAAACCAGTTGTAAGCAGTGTAGCTCCCTGAATGTTTCAGCATGTTTCTCTAACACCAAGGACAGTTTCTTTTTAACCATAATGTTATCATGCTGATTTATTGTTGATATATTGTCTAATACACGGAGCGGATGGCCCCAGTTGTCCCCAAAATGGTGTTTTCTCATTCTTTTTTAGTGTTTGCTTCAGAATCCATAACTACAGTGTCTTTGTTTCCTTTATCTAAGTTGTGCCCCTCTCCTCTTGCCTTTGTTTGCATCCGTCATAGCAATGACACTTAGAGCCCAGGCCAGTTTCTCTCTTGGAGTATATGGACTAGTTGTTTCGCTAAATTCAGGTTTTTGGCAAGATTTCTGTATTTGATTATATATCTAACTTGGTGTTTTGGGGTTTTTTTGTTTTGTTTTGTTTTTTACTAGTTACCTATATAGTAAAAATGGAATCCCATTTATTTTTTCTTACATGTGTTACTGAATATGAATAGTCATAAACCAAATTAAAATGTAATCTCAACAAATAATTTAAAATTTGCTTTCCATGAAGGCAATTTTCAAGCTATTTCTTCTCTTGTGTCTCAGCCTTCAAGGCAGGCAAAGCAGGAATGGAATTCCTATTTTACAGTCATGTTCTTTCTGCTCTACAAGTGAATAAACAACCTCTCTAGAACTTGCCAAACTGGTGGGGAAAATTAGATGACACATGGTTTTCCTAATAGGTCAGGAAAACGAAGACAAAAATACATAGGCTTCTTTTGTTTCTTCATAGACATACTACTAGACTTGATTTAAAAGGCAAAATTAGGTGTTTTCCTGTATCCTTACATACTCCTGAGTCAGTTTTAAAGTCAGAAATGGCAATAAAATGAAGTTGTAAGCTTGAAGCTACAATAAACCTCTAAGTGATCTCTCAGGCATGTGTTGAATCTTTACCATTTCAGTTTAGGAGAACACTTACAGTGACATGCTTTTGCTGTTAGACCACCACACCTGTGTTTCAGCCCTAATGATAGGGATGTCATTCCAGAGCAGTCATAACAGTATTTTATGGCCTGACTGAGCTGACTGATTTTTTAATTGATTTTTTTTCCCCTAGCAGTAATACAGGCTAATGGCCAGGTGACTAATGGGACTGTACATCGCTCAGTGCCATCACCACAATAACTAAAACAAGCTTACTTAGAAATTTCTGTGGTTATGCCACAGCTGACTGTCACATACAAGGAGAATGATCAAGTTGGTGATTTGTGTGAGCACAGCATGGATCGCACTGGGCCCCCCAAACTAATGCTTTAACTGACTCTCGCCACAGTCCGTGACTTTTGCCTAAGTCCAAAAGAGTACTTTAGAAACTAAACATGAGATAAGCTCTGTATTTGGGAAAATCAGTATAATCTAATTGCCCATCTCAAAGTTGAAACTAAGTTCAAAATCTTCCATGCTCTGGCTTTATGACTGCTGCCTTAATTTTGTTCAGTGCTGCTTTCTGTCCTTTTTCTCTGTAGAAACTATCTTTTACATTTCCTGCGTACTCTTCCAATTTCTTTTGAACACTTCCTTTATGGTGCATGCCATTGATCTCCATAGTCCAAAAAGTCACTCTCCCAGTTAAGAGATACATCTGTTAATTTGTGTTTTTTCACTCAACTTGTAAAATGATTCAAATTCACAGAATAGTTAGATTAGAAAACACTATACTAAAAAAAGAAAAAAAGAAAACACTATACTGATTGATAAAGCTGGTGTGTACCCAGTACCAGCTTTATCAATATTTTCATATTAGCCTGTTTTCTTGATATATGCCCGTATTTTCTTTTGATCTGTGTAAACATAAGACTTCAACATTATGGTACCTGTTCTTTGAATACTTCAGCATGCAACTCTTAAAGATAGGGCTTCTTATGTATATAATTATGCTACTGTTATAATTAATTATAAACTTCATAATTTTCTTATTTCATATATAGTCCATATTCAGATTACCACAGTGTTCCCAAAATGTCTTTTTAACTTTTCAGGCTAGCAACATGCTGCCAGGTTCTCTTACTATTGCTGGTGCTGTCCCGCCAGCGTCAAGTTTCTCTTTAGGATGAGTTGATGTCAGTGAGCTGGCACCTCGGCACTGTATGACTGTTGTTGTGGGCCTAATAATTTTTCACTTGGGGGTTTATCATCTTAGGGTTTTCCTCACCTGGACTGGTTATAATATTGGAGACTCACATAACTTTCTCGTTTTCCTTCTACTCTTCCAAATATTACCTGGCCTTCCTTGGGAAAGGCATACTACTGTTTCTTAGGTAGGGTAGATTAGGTCACTCCTGAGAAGTCAGGATAAATATGCATTGTCTCAATCACTGGTCTTCTGAGTAAGGACTTTATGCTGATATTCTGTCGATGCTGATAATGCATTGTAAGAATTGAAAGTATTTCTTTTTCCTCCTTCCTTCCCCCAATCCCTTCTTTCATATTATGATACATTTATTGGTTTTGTCTATCCAGTATCTTAAATAATTTACTTTTAAAATGCAAGGTAGGGGGCCGGGGAGATGGCTCAGTGGAATAAGTGCTTCCCTGGCAATTGCAAGGGCATGAGTTCAATCCCTGGTTCGGCAAAAAAAAAAAAAAAAGATTAAAATGCAAGGTAGATACTTTAATTATCTTTATTTTTATGATTTTTTATTATATTTGTACATGTTTGCAGTTCATGTAGTTTATAGTTGTCTTGGGGAATGGTTATATATATATCTGGAAATTTCTAAAGGACACATGCTACTTTTGTATTCTTAAATAAATAATCTTTGATATATGTCATTTTGTTATTTTTTGCTATATAGCATGTAAGGACCAAGTAAAACTTAAGAATAATGTTTTTGTAGTCCTTAGTATATTCTCAAGGTTGAGCCTTTAAAATCTTTTTAAGCTTAATAGCATTGAATATTAAATATAAGTTAGAGTTCTTCTTTTGGTCATTTTTCTTTTATGGTTTAGAAAATAATTTTATTTAATGCTACTTTAAAATTATGTGAAAACATAAATTTTGCAGTTGTTTAAGTATATAAATAATAGTTCTGTTACTTTGTTCACAGGGTCTGTTCTCTAACTATAATTCTTGTCCTCCTAAATGGCATTTCCTGTAAGCCTAAGTTAGTTCATTAATTTTCATAGGGAGCCGTCTGTGGAAATAGTCACGTTAACGGAAGAAAAGCCTAAAAGCTGTTCCCCTCCCCTTTTCAATCCAAATTTGAAAGGGTGATTTACTTCAAAGTGATTACTTCAACTTCAAAAAACTTCAATGTGAATGTTGTTGAGCAAGACATTCTCAATAATGGGTGCTTAACTGAATCTCTTGTACAGTGTAGAAAGCATTTTATTAGCCAGAGTTTTATCCATTGCCAGTGGAGTGGGAGTGGGGTAGAAACGAAGTGTGGTCTTTGAGATCAATAGTCTTTTCTTGATTGAAATCCTATACATCATTCATTTTAATAATATAATCTGCATTACACAAATCAATAACACTACTTGGTATGCTAGACCTTTGATTCAGTTGTTTTGAAATTACTTTTAACTGTTATATTTATCATGGACCCTCGAAAGCAAAGTTATGAGGCACATGGGATTTTGTAAGATTTCTATCAGAGCCCTATCAACTATTCAAATTGTCCTTTAT